TATGAAGTTATTTATTTTCTGTTTATATTCTTCTTCTGTTAGTATTACTAGTGTTTTTCCTTTATCTGCTTTCGTTATAATAAGTTTATTCTCTTTGATTTTATTTTTTATATTCATTATTTGTTTCCATTCCCTTTTATCATTCTTATCTTTATTGTTTTTATTCCTTTCATCATTATAATTGTGTATGTCTTTTAGTTTCTTCGCAATTAGGTGTCTATAATAATTTTGTTCTGTTATTTCTAGGTTATTTATTGCTGTTTCAGCTTCTAGGGCTAATGTCTCAATCCATTTTTCATTCTTGTGATGTAAATTATATTTAAGGCCTTTACTTAATATTTGGTTTTCTTCGTGTGTAAATTGTATATTTGTTTGGTTCACTACCCTCGTGTATTGTATGTTTTTACTTGTTGTATCTGTATTTTGTGTTTTCATCATGTTGTTTATTTTTTGTTGTTGTTTTAGATATGTTGTTTCCATATCTTTTTGTAATTTTTCTTCTATTGATTGTTCGATGTTATTCCATGTTCGTTGCCATGTGTTTGCATTGTGTATGTGAATGTGATAGAGTTGTGTATTTAGTTGTTGTTTCTTTTTGTATAGAAATTTTATTTCATTTTTTATGCGTATTGTCTGGGCCTGTATTTGTGTTTTCTTAGCCGCTTCGCTGTTTGATGTTATTTTCACATATGCGTATTTTGGTACTAGCTTTTCTTTTAGACAGGTTTTGTTAAATTTTATGATAGCGTTGCAGTGTAACAGTTTCCGTTTACAATTCATATATTTATAAATGCTTTTTATGCGACAACTGTTTACAATATTATATTTAAGCATCCTGTTACACTCACACAATATATGAGACAAACTCCGTCTTAAGTGCAACAATTTAATTGTAGTTCTTCCTTCTTCCCTTCCTCTACACTACATGTTTCGGCCCTAAATGGCCATCATCAGGTGTGTATCACTCACGTAGCTGTTACACTGCTTGTTAAAATTTAAAATTACCAGTCTTTCTAATTGTATAAAATCTTTGTTNCTGCAGCACTATAGACATAGGGCAAGTACCCCGAGAAAATTTTAATTTTTAAAATTTGGAAAAGAAAAAGAACAGAAAATTTAAAGACATTTAATTTGAATTGAAGATTTAAAAAGTGCCAATTTTAAAAATCAAATTGACGTGCATAGGTTAACAAAGATTTTATACATACATACATACAACTGGAAAGACTGGTGTTTTTAAATTTTAAACTACAGGCAGTGTAACAGCTATGTGAGAATATACACCTGATGATGGCCATTTAGGGCCGAAACATGTAGTGTAGAGGAAGGGAAGAAAAAAGAACTACAATTAAATTGTTACACTCCATTAGAGTTACAGCAGTACCAACAGTCACCACAAGCTTCTCAGATATGTGAGAGACTGTTCTGTATCACTGCACTCCTTGAAACAGATGAAGACATTGGCTGATATCAGCACTTCAGATGTCAGGCATTTCTTGCATGCATCACAGCTGACACATCGAGGAACCTGACTGACAATAGAACCACTGATGTAAGCTACTGAGAACACTTCCATTTCAACAGCAGGTACTGCAGGACTCATGTCCATCTGTACTTGCTGAGCAACACGGAAACTCTCAGGCACACCAGCAGGGGTTTCCTTGTCATGAATTGTGGAAAGATTTCGTGAGGCAGCTTCAGGTGCCCTGAAAAGCGATTGTAGGTTATCCAGAAGAGTAGCACCATCATCCTCACAATTATTTCCCTCCAGACCTCTAAAAGCAAGGCCATTGATGATGCTAGTCTTCAGAGAATCTACGAGGGGCGTTCAAGTTCTAAGGTCTCCGATTTTTTTTCTCAGGACTGGGAGCAGATAGACACATGCGGTTTTGTTTAAAATACGTGCACTCTTTGTGAATGCGTGACAGAGATGGCGGAACTCTACGGCACACAGAACTCTAGTGGTAGCAGCGAGTGTGAGGAGTGTTTTTGATACTTAAAATGGTGATGTTTTCGTTACAAGAACAGCGAGTAATCATTCGTTTTCTCCACTTGCGTGGTGCGACACCCATTGAAATTCATCGCCAGTTGAGTGAGACATGTGGTGATGGTGTCGTGAGTGTGAAAAATGTGCGTTCGTGGGCGCGACAGTTCACAGAAGGCCGAATGTCGTGTGACAACGAACCAAAACAATCTCGGCCTCGCACCAGCCGGTCTGACAACATGGTTGAGCGAGTTGAGAAAGTTGTTTTGGAGGATCGCCGATTGAGTGTGGAAAACATCGCCCCCAAAGTTGGCATTTCCGTGGGATCTGTGCACAAAATCCTGCATGAAGACCTGCGAATGTGGAAAGTGTCCTCCAGGTGGGTTCCACGAATTTTGGCGGATGACCACAAGGCTGCACGCATGGCAATGATGAAGGCATGAATGGGACTTTCTTTTCATCAACTGTGACAATGGATGAGACATGGATGCCGTTTTTCAATCCGCTATTGCATCAGCAAATTTCCAGTGGTCAAAACAGACTCCTACAGAAGCGTTTGCAGCGGCCATGGAATCATGGCGTCGACGTTGTGAAAAATGTGTACGGCTGCAGGGAGATTACGTTGAAAATTGACAGAAGTTTCAAATTTTTTGTATGATTATTGTGTGAGAAAAAAAATTGGAGACCTTAGAACTTGAACGCACAACATACAAACTGTCCCACTGCTGGGTTATTGTTAGAACCACAGTTCAAATGAATAGCCTCAAATGTGTTCTGAAGGGGTTCCTGATTCAGGTTTCGGATGTGAAGGTACTTAAAACCCGCCTCTTTCAGTGCCCTCCACAGATGCTGGGCAGCAGTGATGTCAATTAGCCACCCATTCTGTGAAGGAGGAAGATGAAGAAGGGCGCGTTTACCACCCTTGAGGAAGATCCAACTATTTATCCCATACTTGCCCTTTTCCAGTGCTCTATATGGGGACTGTTATTGTTGAGCAGGCAACGCAGTGTTTTCCAGGGGTCAACACACGTTCCACCATCGAAACTATCAAAGAGNCCGCATTCAGCTTCAGAATACCTCCATCCTCGCCACCAAGACGCGCTATATGGATCGCATCATTAGGGAAGCCATTGAGATCGAACTGCATCCAGGGAATATGAACAGAGAGGATGGGTTTCGTCTCAGCAAGTCTTGGAAACCCCTTATCTGTTCTCTTAAAAACCACCCACCGGGATATGACGCCAGATCCAGGAAGCCACAAGGCCATGACCAACCAACATAACAACCCCCCACCCTCAGCTCACAGTTAAAGCCCAGCCATTTAACCTGCTACACTCTCCCCTACACAAAATCACGCTTGTCCCGGCTCCCTTCCCCCACCCCTCCCACACCACTGCTTTCACTTGTTTACTTGCAGTTCATCCCCTTCCCTCTCTGCTCAACGGTATGTTCTTTAGTCTGCTTGACCGTGTCTCACGGTGTTGTCGCTTGCAGATTTACTTATACTTCTTCAACCCTGAAGATGGGGGCGATACGTTCCTCCGAAACGTCGGTTAACACCACATATACACGGTGCCAAATCCCAGAAGACTGCTTTCTTCATCAAAGAGGTCATCAACCTCTTCAACAAATGCAGCTGTCGCCAGATATTCACTGCAGCATCCTCCTGAAAGAACATTAAAAAGGAAGTTAGTGAGCTTCCTTACATAATGGACTACGATAGTTCTTCAGAGTGGAAAATAACACACTTTGCTATGGACTGCCATACAAAAGAATTTGCGAATTTGATTACTTTATTCCTCATAGCAAAGACTTTGCCACCTCTTTCTCTCATAAATCATATTACTGATAATGTGTTCTGCTTTTCAGATAATTTTAATTACCCTAAAAGCATCAGTATTGCGAAATATTCCATGTAACCTGTATATTGATATACAGTTTTATAATAAATGATGAAAATGATGTTTATTTGAGAACTGGGTTCTGGGGATAATAATTTTGAAAACTAGAGGAACGACGATAACAAATCAAAACCTGATTCAGGAGGTACACATTCTAAATTTTGGGGTTATGTTGAATAAATTTAACACAGACATACGCTAAACTTAATTTACTCATTCGATTAAGCAACACATAATAAAGTAATTACACCATGACTTGAAACATACATACCGTGCTGGATCCCTTGGAAAACTGAAGAATCTTATGCCTTGCTTGCTGGATGACAACACCAAACAGCTGCACAAGTTTTTGTTTTCATGTTTATACTGCAAGAAGCAATACAAAAATTATAACGGTACTCTTAGAACTCCTTCACATTCTACAGACAATCTTTTTAAACCGAAAGTTGCAGAACATATCATAAAACAAATATCGTTTAGATGACAGTTCATAACCTCAAAAATTTTAAGCTTGAAAGAGCTCTGTGTGTTTCTAATGTCATTTGTGGTAGTAAGCATAACATTCATATACACAAATAATATGTTTAATTTGGTGATGTAACTTTGTTGGCAAATGTCTACTTTCGTTTCGCAACCACATCAAATCAAAATTCTTACTTACCAATTTGCACATGACAACACACGATATCCGCTTATAATTGTGGGTATTCAAATTGGTTTGTGTAAGCTCTCTGATTGGTGGAGATCTGTGTGTAGTATCTGCCTTCGTCCATAGAGCGCCATAGAGGAAGTAGTTACGTGTATCCGCTTCCCGTACGTAGGCTTAGTCTCTTTGCCTGACCGTGGAAGAGGTAAGTCATGAATTTTGGGACTCTCGTTTCCAGTGATGTTTTCCTGAAAGTACATATTTTGTGTGGTATAGCAGTCTGCAGTACCGTGAGTTCTGCTAATTAGAGGATTTGAAAGTATCTACAGCTTTATATCAAACTTGAAGAGCCTAGTGTCACCGTGTGGCGTCTATTAAAGTATAGGGGAGTGGCCATGCGTCCCGCCGTGGGTAACCGCAGTCCAAGCGTGTACACTGTTCTAAAATCTTATTTTAAGATAGAAATTCTTATTCTACTTATATTATTTTTGGACACGCGCTTTATAAGTATACAGTCTTCCCACCTGCGTTATCTAACTGAATGCAGAGTCGACGTTGCAATTCATGCATTTTCCCCGGATGTAACGACACAGGAAGTCTGGCAGTGCTATCCACTGGCCTACTCTAATCGTAATGCCTATTTATTGGTTCTTTAATTACATATCACAATTTGCTCTTGTGCATGCATTCCTCTTTATGCAGTAAAATTTTGTGACAAAGCCACAGCATACATCATCGCAGAAAGTGCAATTTTCAACCCGATGTCAGATTTCAGCGAAAGCTGTATAGTCTGTAGACCTCAGAGCTCCAGAGAGTATAGTATTGCAAAGTTTTTGCACCATGTGTCATGCATTTTTGTGGGTCAGTGGTGTGAAAACAAAAATAAATATTTAATTCTTATTTGTGTGCTGTCTCCACTACAGATTATCGTACCATTTGTTCTGTGTAACTTGCAGAGCTCACGTGGAACTTGTTTACAAGTTAATGAAGTGTTCTTTTCAAAATCTGTAACTAACATTCAGAAACAGATAAATGAAGGTCATACTTATTTTAAAAGAAACAAATGAATATCATATAGCTGATTTTCAATTAAATCTAAGATGTGAAACATGGGAGATGGTTTTCAATGAAAATTATGTTAATAAAGCGTTTAACGTTTTTTTTTTAAATATATTCTTAAGAATCTCTTCTAGTTTTCCACTGATACAAACAAAAAACAAATTATTCTAAACTCTTTGATCACACCAGGAATAATGATTTCTTGTTAACATAAAAGAGCTTTATATATACAATTACAGAATACGAAAACACTGTCACATTTGGCAATCAGTCTATCAAAATCACTGGCACCAACTCAGATCTTGTTGGGGTAGGTATGTGACAGCTGTTTTCAACAGCCCCACACACACACAAGGGTTTATAGGTGTCCCCATAGGTAAAAATCTGGTGGGTGTGAAGGCCATGCAGTGGTTCCTTCTCTACCTGTACATCAGTCATGATATGTGTTAGTAAGAAATCTTGTACAGCACAGCTAAAATGTGCTGGAGCACCACCATGCATGTGTTACACACATTCCTGTTCTGACTGCCAGTAGTGCATCTGGCAGTAGCTTTGGAGGATCCTATAAGGGAAAATGTTGGTAGTGGTTGCCCATAAGCAAATGTGGCAAAACGTGGGCCTACCAAACAATCACCAAGAGTCCCTGCCCACAGATTAATGCTGATGTCTAAAATGGATTGCACCATGAGGATTCTCCTCTACCCACTAGTCTTAGTTGTGGTTTTAGATGATGCTGTCTACAGAAATGTGCTTCATCTGTAAAGAGCACAGTTGAAACAAATGCTAAGCACTTGGTGCATTGAATTTCATGGAGGCCTTTTTGAACACTTACTATAAATGTACTCTTGCACCTATAACTCACAAATTGAATGTTACTGGACACATGTTGATATGGACATTTTTCTTGTTTTGGTATGTGGAACTCATGCCCAAAGTTCCATCTGGTCCTCTCAGTTACACCCTGTATAGATGCATGTTGTATATGAGAGAGACTGCATTTGTCTATCTTTGTACATCAGACAATGATGAGGTGAAACACCAGATTTGTAATGTGCATCAGATAATATTGAAGAGTTAGTGAAATAAAACTGGCCTCGCCATAGCTCAAGCAGTTAGTCGCTGGCTTCCCAATCTTTACATTGTTGAAAAACAGCCAATTAGATATAGAAATCGTCAAGTAGCTTAATCACATCTTGCTTATCAATCAAGCAGCTGTCAAAAAACAATTAATAGGAAATAAAGTTTACATTAGTGATAAAAGAATTAATCTTAAAAACAGTAAAAACATTGACAATTTTAGAATAAATCTTGCTTATACATTGAAGCAATTATCTAAAAACCAGTTTATAATATAAGAAATAGTTTAGATTGTTAATATAATAAATGATAATAGCTGTAACTAAACATTGACAATATAAGATAAATTGAGTATAATTGTTAATAAGAAATGCAAGTAGTAATATGTACAATTTAAAAAGGCTTAATCACATAAAACCTGTTTTGTCAGATATTTTAAGATTCTTACTAAAAAAAGCTTTAATCCAACTACCATATTGCTTAAATAATTATATATTATAACCATAAAACATCTCATAAAAAGTCATCCAATATATAAAAAGAATCAAAATACAAAAATTCCTTTAATTTGTCTTAATCTTTTTTATATCCTTTGAAATTAGCTTAAGTGAGTTGGGAAGTGCATTATAAATCCTAACCGCCATATGATAGACCCCATTTCCATATATCGCCAAATTTACTTAGGTCATGTATATGTCCATAATGTGTCTGGCATTAATTTCATAGTGAGCCTTGTTTGTATCAGACATTTCTCTGTTTTTACAATAAAAAACAACAAGGAGTATATGTATTGTGATCTTAATGGAAATACAGTAAAACTTCGTTATAGCAACATCGGTTTCTGCGACACCTTGTCTATTGCGTCAAATATTCAATGGTACGAACTAATTCCTCATAAAGCAACTGTTTTTATACCTTGCTTAGTACGACATGCACAAATGCATCAACCTCGTATGTAACGTCATTTTCATTCCTGAATTTCTCTGATATCGTGGGAAAGTTCGATGTGTCTGCCCACCCTCACTTTCTCTACTTGCTGACGTGACTGTCCTGGAAGAATATGACCACGGGCTGCAAGAGGAGCGTGGGTTTTATGCGAAAACAAGGGTGTGGGGTGGGACTGCGTGAATAGTGCAAGAGGACGCGGCAGGTTGTTAACTGCATTCCTTTCCTAGAATCTCGTCTAACAGGACCTCACATTGTCTACTTACCCTATAGTGTTCCTGCCTAAACCCAGAGAAGTGCAGTAGCGAAAACATGGCAATGAAAAGGAAAGTTTTAAGCATTGAAGAGAAAGTTAAAGTGATTCGTGAAATAGAAAATGGAAGGAAAAAAGCTGATGTATGCCGCGAATTTGGTTTGGTGAATTCTACAGTACAAACGATATGGAGAATCCATATTAATTCCACGTTAATGTTACGTTAGTCTGTACTTAACTACGTATTTCACTAAAAAATGCAACATTTTAACTCGGTTTTTGGTAGATTTTTACGTGACTAACATAAGGCTACTGTGGAAGTGCCCATTTCGGTTACAACGACATTCGTTTATAACGACACTATTTTTAGGTTCCTTTTGATGACGTTATAACCAAGTTCTACTGTATATACATATCTTTAAAATGTTCTCTACATGAATCTCCAAAACCACATCCTTTCATTATTCGTACAGATCTCTTTTGTAGCTTGAATACTCTTTCAGCATGAGACGAGTTACCCCAGAACATTATACCATATGACATGACAGAATGGAAATATGAGAAGTAAACACTTTAATGTTTTCAGTGAGACTATTTGTTTTACAGTTCTTATCATATAGCAGGCTTTGTTCAATTTCTTTATTATGTCTTGTATATGACCATCCCAAGTGATATCATTTTGTATTGTCAGGCCAAGAAATTTAGTGTAATATGTTATAGTAGCACCAAGTTCTCCCATATCCCTATCACACCTGGTTCTTGCAGTGTATTATGTTTTTATTATATTGAGAGACATTAAATTATTTTTAAACCAATCATCCAAAATCCTGTATACTTCATTATTTTTGGTTTTGAATTTTATTGTATTTGCATGAGAAATTAACACAGGCATCATCAGCAAAAAGTATGGGTGTACTCATCTCCAGTATCTTTGGTAAATCATTAATGTATATTATGAACAGCAATGGTCCAAGAATGGATCCTTGTGGGACACCATTGGTTATTTTATCCCACCTTGAGTTTTCCTCTATCTAGTCCATTAAAAATTTCAGTTCTCTGCTTTCTGTTTGAAAGATATGATTCAAAGAGGTTATATTCTTTGTCCTTAATTCCATAGTACCTTAATTTTAATATTTCATGGCTAACACAATCAAAAGTCTTTTCTGAGTCACAAAAAAATCCCACTGACTTGCATTTTTCTATTTAATGAGTCCAGTATTCTCGAGATAAGAGAAATATATTGCATTTTCAGTCCCTTTTATTTTCTCTAAAACCAAATTGATATTTAGTATACTATTTTCCTTCAAATGTATCGATCTACTGTACATTACCTTCTCAAAAATTTTATTGATGGATGTTAATATGGAGATAGGTCTATAATTTCATACCAAGTTCTTATCGCCTTTTTTGTAAATAGGTATAATAGTAGCATATTTTAGTCTATCAGGGTAAATACCCTCAAACAAAACTTTTACATAAGAAGCTAATGCGTTCAATAATAAAGGTTTTACAGATTTTAAGCATATTATTCAGTATTTCATCATACCCATGTGATTGGCTTGATTTAAGGGACAATCTATAATCTTCAATTTCTCTGCTTGTAGTTTTAGTTATTTTAATGCTTGGAAAAGGACTCTCAAGTGCATTAGTCAACTATGTCATATAGCTCATAGGTTTGGATGTGTCATTTGGACCATTTTCTTTTGTGTGTGTATGAATGTTATAAGGTACTTCAGTAAAATATTTATTGAATGTATTATTTTATTTAATTTTATTATCATTCAACAATCCGTACATACAGGTATTACAACCATTTGGATCAGGAAATTGTCAGTTTTACATCTAATTCTCATGCATATCTTTACAGTATACACTGTGCCACCCTAATATAGGAGGTTTGTCGTCTGAATAATATTATCTAGATCTAGTTACCATTAATTTCATTGTCTTTACACAAATGCAACAAATTAATCAGCTGCATTTTACATTTATACACTTGAATCAAAAGACATATTAAATTCATCTACAGAATAAAAGGAATGTTTCAGCAAAAAAGATTTTAATTCCTTTTTAAATGAGTTAAAATTTTCTGTTTGTTTTATTTGATTGGGGACCTTATTATACAAACTAATTCCCATATTTATCACACTCTTAAAAAGAGCTGTATTACAGTGATGTACATGAAAATTTAATTTTCTTCATGTGTTATAATTATGAATGTGTGAATTTATTGCCATAAAAGC